GTGTGGTGAGCAGGACTAGGGAAGTGATCATCCCCCTGTACTCGGCACTGGTGAGGCCTCACCTTGAGTACTGTGTTCAGTTTTGGGCCCCTCACTACAAGAAGGACATTGAGGTGTTGGAGCGTGTCCAGAGGAGGGCTACAAAGCTGGTGAGGGGTCTGGAGGAGAAGTCTTATGAGGAAAGACTGAGGGAACTGGGGTTGTTTAGCCTGGAGAAGAGGAGGCTGAGGGGAGACCTTATCACCCTCTACAACTACCTGAAAGGAGGTTGTAGAGAGGTGGGGGCTTACCTCTTCTCCCTGGTGACAAGTGATAGGACGAGAAGAAATGGGTTCAAATTATGTCAGACAAAGTTTAGATTGGATATTAGGAAAAAAAAAATTCACTGGAAGGGTTATTAAACATTGGACTAGGCTGCCCAGGGAGGTGGTGGATTCGCCATCCCTGGAGGTGTTTAAAAAAAGGGTAGATGTGGTACCTGGGGACATGGTTTAGAAGTGTTTTTGTCAGGGTAGGTTAATGGTTAGACTTGATGATCTTAAAGGTCCCTTCCAACCTCAGCAATTCTATGATTCTATGATTCTATTTCTCAGGATCATCTTGCAAATTACATCCATCCTAATTTGCAAGAGACACATCAGCTACTGAGCAATGCAGCATTTGACTGTATGGACAAATTTAAGCTGCCTTTGGATTAACAAAACTCAGCTAATCCTGAGCCAGGTGTAATTAGAGAGGAATGCAGTCAACCACTGATTTCCTAAAAAGCAAAATGGTTCACTCAATCACTTTATTTTGACAGTTCATCTACTCCTTTCACACACAAAGTCATTCCTACTTGTGCATCAGGTTATCATCATTGCATTGCTTCTCCTTTATCCCTCTGCTTTCCCTTCATGTTATCTGGATTTTCACATAATTCCTCATGTTTTCCCTTTATTAGGTCTTACAAGCAAAGCCCAGGCACCAGATGGAAGCTCTGCAATAGGTAGCTTCTCCTTTGCAGGCAAGTTGAAGAGCTTATCTGGGATATGAACCCACAACCCCTTGTACATTAAGATAATCCACTACTCCTAAGTTTGTGTTTTTTTCCCCTCCAAAGGAGGGAGTTTAATTTCCAATATTTTGAAAGAGACATAAACCAAACTTCCTGCTGAGACTCTTCTTGTGGCTCATCCATCACTTGCTTTGAAAAGAAGCAGTATGGCATATAACTTCAATTCTAACTCCAGTAATTCCTTTTGTGGATAAACATTTCCCCAGCACTTTAAACTGTGGTCTCCACTTCAGTACATCCAGTGCCAAAACGCCTCCGATAACCTTCCTTAGTGCTGCTCTGCGTGATCTCCATGTCTTCAACCCATTTTGTGAGAAGAGTCACATTGTTATGAGCACTACAACCTTCAGGAAAGAACAGTGCTACAATGTTCAAATCATTATTAGCTATTTTTATTAACACCAGAACTATTGCAATCTCAATGTCTTCTTACAATGCTGTAGCATTTCAGCAGAAAAAATATCTTTTCAAAAGGAACACAAATGTTTCCTCTGTAAAAAAGGAGCCAAAGTTCTCCACTGTCTTTCAGACTATTTACATAATACCAATTTAGTGGCTATTTTTACCTTAACTCAGTTGATACAGCTTTTCGTCCGGTATCAGTTTTGTTATATTCACTTAGATTTGTTTTACTTTAATATGGACAATTACTAGCTTAGATTCTGGGCCAATTTCAGCATGTTCCTGCAAAAGGTCATGACACGGATTTAATTAAAACACAACAGTATTGTGTCAAACCTGTGACATTTGTATAAGTAAATTCCAACGATAAAATCCTCAGCTTTCCTGTTTTAGGGCTGTGATCTTCCCAAACAAACAAAGCTGAATTATTCAGATTGAACAAAA